AAATAAAAATGGAATAAATCAGCTGAAGGTCTCAGCACAGCCGTACGCATAGTAATGCGAAGTTTGAATTCAGAATCATCGAGTCATAGCAAATTTAATGGTATATATAGGGAATTTGAAATAGGTAACTGCGGCAAATGCAGTGCAGCCAAGTTCCAATTAACCATTAAAATAGCTTAGGCGAGGGAGGACAATAAGAATTCTAGGTGCAGTCTGACCGCAGTAGAACCGCAGTTCAGCGCAGCAAAAGCACAGTAGAACTATAGCATGAAAATTTCATTTTTATTCAGTTTGAGAAAAATACACTGTAAATAAATCCTGTAAATAGAAGGTAGAGCATGAAAAAGGAAGGCGACCCAAGGAGTATAAAAGGGAGACCCTTTCTGCGACTTTTCGCCCCCCTTAGAGAAGTAAGAAAATAGAGTATTATTTTTCTCAAGCATTTCTGGTTGTCACTCCAGTGCGAAAAAGTGATATACAGTTAAGATTGCCACTGTAGTAAAAGGCAGCAATAAAGGAGAGAAATATTAAGTAGATATTTCAACAGGGGAGCTGGTTAACACTCCAGATTTCAAAGTGTAAACACAAAACAGTTATTTTGCTACTGTTAAAACAAGCAATAAAATAAGACAAAAATAAAACAAACTGAAGGGACACTCCACACAGAATCCAAATTCATTAACTGAATAAAATCTTTGAAACTTCACTAAGTAGAAGATTAAATTCAAGTTTAAATCCAAATTAAACAACGCCACACAGAATTACACCTAGACAAATTAATAAATTTCAATAAAGAAACAGCTCCGCAGGGCTCGGTTTATCTGTAAGTCAATTCCCAGGAACTTTAAAACTAACCCATAAAAATAGAATTAGCCAAAACACTCGGATTGGTACTTTATTTACAATAAATAACATTAGTACACTTCCCCATCCTAACTAAAGAACCAGGGAACAGCTTGGTGGTGGTCTCGTTTGAACCTCCCAACTGACCTTCCTTCGTTCTCTCCTTCAGCGCTCCAACGGAAGTTAGGTGTGTAACGGATAGGAGGTTAGTGCCAATCTTTGGACAGTAGAGGACGTTGCTGATGATGACGCAGCGATCGTTAGTCCCATTATTTAGGACAACTTCGATCTGTCCCTGGCCAGTAGCAAAGAGAGCTTGTTTATCACCTAGGTAAATTGGTCGAGGAGGGTGGAGAGGTGAGTATGTCGAGAACCAATGCCGGTTTGCGCAAATATGAGATGATGCACCCGAGTCCACGATCCATTCAGTCATGTTGTCGCGATCGCTCCTTGCAACGGCCGCATGTTCCTCTGCCATGAGGACATCGACCTTAGCGTCCTTCCTCTTGGCCCCCTTTGATGAACTCTGTCCTTCGTCCACCTTAGGTGGACGTTGTCCCTCCGATCCTCCCCCTTCAGCCCAACATCGTTCAAAGGTGTGTCCGAGTTTGCGCTTGCAGTTTGGATTCATGCAGTGCGGACGTTCTTTGTTGGATTTCCTTCCATCAGACTTACTGGAGTTTTTGTCAGGTGTCTTTCCAGATTTGGCAATGAGGATGGTAGACGAGGATGGTTTTGCCTTCCTCTTTTCTTCTCTGAGGATTTGTGCTATCAACTTTTCGCAAGCCAGTGTTGACACATCATCGATATTGGCCAGCATCATTTGTTGTAGTGTCTCATACGAATCTGGTAGCACCTCCGATACAATCATGGCGAATTTAGCATCAGTGTAGGTATCGCCAAGACTTGCTAAGCGGTCTCGTAGTTCACGCATCTGGATCAGTTGAGGCTCCATTGGCTTGGAGTCATCCAGTTTGAAGTGGTGAAGCTGAGTCATAACTCTCGCAGCATCCTGTGCCCCAGCACCATTGTAACGTTTGAACAGGGTTAGCCATGCTTCCTTCACGGTATCCTTCCCTTCGATAATGGACAAAGGCATGTCTTTGAGGGTAAGTCCGATCTGGGTCAGTGCATGGCCGTTCTTTCTGTCCCATTCGTCTGCATCAGGGGTGGATGAGGCAGCAGCTTGTTTACCAGAAGAGGATGAAGGGGAAGAGGGGGGAGGGGGAGAAGGTCTGGTCGAGTACTTTGATTTGGGATTGACGATATCCCAGAGTCCTCGATCAGCGAGAATCATTTGGCTGCATATGGCCCACATCCGATAGTTCCGTCCATCACTTTTGAGTTTTTCGATGTTGTAAATACTCTTGGAACCATCAGCTGTAACATTAGTGGTCATAGTTAGGCTCATAACCTATTAGAATAGTGACTATGTCACGTTAGACTCAGACTCGAATAAGAGTTCTATATTGTAAATACCTATGTCGCATTAGACTGCGACAAAGATTATACATGAGTCATAAGATAAAATACTGAGAAATAGTTCTCACCTCAGACTCGAATAAGAGTTCTGAGGGAGAAAGTCTAAGGAATTCCTCCCTTATATACGCGACATTCCTGAGTGGCAACGTCGTCGTACAAAGGGAGTTTTTAAGTTGAATAAGGAAGGGCAAAACGCCCCCAACGCCTCATAGCGCCCCAGAATAACCACTATGAATAACCGCCACACAACTTCCCAATGTAAACAAAGTTGGTGTTCTAATACGAGCTTGTCTCAGTGAAATTCCAGGAGAATATGGGCTAGTTAAATGATACAAATGCTAAAGAAGACATTGGAGGAGTCTTGGAATTGTGGCATATTATTTGGCCCAAGTTTCCCTGTGCACAGATAATCAAGATATATATTCCGTTTCTGAGAATTCCCGTTCTCAGTCAAATCTCCACCAGACTTCACAAAATCGGTATCGATAGAAAGCTATGGATGAGGAGAGGAGAGTGGGATAAAGGGACGGAGGTTTGATGCAGTGTTTGGAGTGGTATGAGGAAGTTTGTGTTTTTCTTTTCAATTTCCTTTGTTGTTTGGAATATTATTCTAAGCCAATGGCAGCCGAACCTTACCGCTGTTGTTGGAGGCTTAGCTCAGCCAAACCCATATATTTCGGACTCTTTTCACAGATTGTATGTTTGCTGTATGGGTATATGTACATAGCGATTGAAACAGATCAGAGATTTTCCCCCTCCCGCTACTTTTGAAGTCCGTGTACTTGGGTGCTGTGAGTGGCCACACGATTGGTAAAGGGCTATCGTGACCTTTAGGAAAATCCACCACGGAAAGAAGAAGAGTTATCAGAGTTGTGTATATTTCCCCGAAATCCCACCGGCCCTATTCACTCATCCGAACATCGACTCACGCGTTCGTGTCGGAACCGTTCCATCTTGCCCATGCACTCGATTCACATCGATCGGTGGTTAGTCTTCCTACTTGACGACCGAATTCAACCTCACTCTCTTTTTTCACGAACGAGCATGCACCTTTGCCCAAACTTGTGCCCCAACTCCTCATTATCTTCCCCTCTCTGTCTCTGTCTCTGTCTTTGGCTTTATGTAATTCGGAGGCGGAATTTTGGCGGCTTTCGGACGCGACGTCGATCCTGACGTTCCCATCAGAACCATTTCTCGTCCAAGCAAACTTTTTCACATTTGTCTTCACTCGCCCCACTTCACTCAGCTAGGTGGCGTCTATGTACACACACAACCGCCAAGCAACACCCTCTTCTTGAGTGGACTTTGGCCTCTTGACGCTGCCCGACACGTTGCGTCCGAACCAATCAAGTAGGTCCGACCTAGCACTGTTGCGGTCCAAGCGGCGAAATATAGTTGTTCCACAGTGGATGTGTTCGACGATCGATCTCTATCGCAGATACTCTAGCTTGTTTAATGGCGCTGAGTGTTGTTGGCCTATGAATTAATCAGGTGTATCATTGCCGCAACAAGGGACTCTTGAGCATACGGTTACAAGTTGCAGATCGTGAAATATAGTCATCATCGACCAAATGCTGCTACGCCAAAGCCTGTCACTCCATCCTTCAAGTATTAGAGTCCCTCCTGATACTCAGCTTGTGCACTCAATAGCCCTACCGTCGGTCAACATTGACCATCCTTAGCGAATGCCCCCCCCCCAAGGCAAACCCGATGAGTTCCCTGCGCGGGTGTCGAACGTTTCCAACAGCATACCCAGTCAGCCTGAGTAACGTACCGCTTATAGCACCGGACCATCTGCATTCAGAGCGAGTGAGTGGATTGGGTGAAATGTGCACGTAACCATAATAGATGCTCTTAAATAATGTTAAATCCGTATACAGAAGGCACCATTACTGTTGAAAAGTTGGAATATTAGGAGGGCAAACTCGACATGAAACCATGACCTTGCCTTGCCTGCCAGTTGGACCCAACAAAAGGGCTTCGCTAGATCATTTCCACAGTAGCTAATTATCCAACACGACAAGATCGATAATTGAACACGTACAGTCCCGTTCGCCATCAGTCACCAGACGGAAACACCGACACTAACAGCGTTCCATCAAAAATCAAGTATCTATATATCGAACATCTAAGCATATTTACGGCAGCCGAATATCGATTCTCCCATCTATGTAATAACCCACAAAGGTCTAATTTCTGCGAATGGGTTCAGGACTTCCCAGCCGTATATCTCCGTGGTCCGGGCCACTAGGGCAAGCACGTTGTGTTCTCGGATACTCGGCAGCGGGAATACAACGTAGTTGATAAAGCGAACTCTCGTGAACTTTCAATCGAGTTTGTGGCCATTGGCGTAGGGTGTCTGACGGGATGTGGCATGCTGGGTGTGGATGCATAAGTTTATGCGCTTTCTCGTTTCCATGAGAGCGGATACAGCTGCCAGTTCCTCAAGTCTTCCAAGACCCTCCAATGCACAAGCAAGAGAATATGACCGTTGAAGCCCTTCTACCGTAGGTGTCGGGGTATTCTCCTGATGGAATGATAATGACTCTTCATCCGAGTCAAGTTGCTTCTGCATAGCGCCCCAGATGGCGAATAGAAACAGATTCCTCGGCTAAAGGTAGGGCTTCAGCATGGCGACCAAGGCTGTGGAATGATATGCTCAAAGTAGTGGAGTGAGTGTGCCAAATTCGGTGTGTGTGTGATGTCGGATTAACGGTAACTAGTTCGCGCCAAAGTTTTGACGCTTTCTTTCATCACTGGTAACGCCTCGGAACCTCATCCAAGGTCAGTGAGTGAAACACTGAGTCTCCGCAGTGACAACGCCAGAGTCGGGGTGTGGGATATCTGATCAACGGAAACTAGTAGATCGCGGCAGAGTTTGACATTGATTGGGAGAGCCTCCGAATGCTTTCCGAGATTGCTGAGTGTAATTTCGAGATCCCGTAGAGAAGTGGGGTTGTACAGTATGATGATGTCGGATGGACGGCAGCTATCCCACGCCAGAGTTCGACACTTTGTTTGATCACAGCGAGTGCTCGTCCGAGTTCGGCGAATACCAAACGGAGATTCTGGAGTGATGCAACGCCAAAGTGCAACCGAATCATTCGCGAACTCGTGCCCCTCCCGAAATCTTGAAGTAAAAAAAAACCAATTCCTCTCCAATCTGTTAAGTACTTGGGCCAACTTCTGCATCTCTTCCTTTGAACCCACATCAGTACTCAACTGACGGAGTACCAGACGAAATGAGAATGATGCACAAGATGAAGTAATGATTCGTACCTTAGCCCATTCAGGGAACGAAGAGATACTGACGTATCCTTCCATCCCCTCACACAGACTTCCACCCAGCGTGTGAGTTACTGATTAAGAAATGTGAGGACCAACGCATTGAGCCTCTCTGGAGGCTCCAAAACTTGGTTGAGGTGACACTCAACATGCCAACACGCGTAACGGAGTGTTCGGCCAGCGTTTCTGGAGGAATGGGAGACAGTTCGACCTTTTCCGGCAACTTTTGGATTAACCCCAAACCGTCCAGACGGCAAAGATCCTCATTCAAGGTCTCAACGCAATGCAGGGCCACTCGGATATTTTCCCTTTTCGTATCTACCAGATAACGATGAAGTGCTGAGGATTCTGGTTCAGTTCGGTCTATGAGGAAGTCGTGGAATGATTGATGTAAAATACGAATTGGCTTATCAGGTTCCCTAACCCCTCAGAGAAGGGGTGCAAGTTCGGCTAATGTGTGATGTATATGGAAGACTTAAGGAGTGGTGATAGTATGGCATCCCAAGCCCTAACTGACAATGGCTGTTGCGCAACCAAGATTGCTCCCATCACAATGGGGTAGTCATGCACAAAATCTTCGTCCTTCCAATTACACTTCTTCAGAATGGTCGTATACAGGCTGTCCATCATTTCCTCCGCTCGGGCCTTCGATCGGTTAGCGCCCGTATCAAGCAATTTCTCCAGTGTTCTCATAGGATCGCCACTTGCCCCCTTCATGTGATGAAAGACGGTACTGATCCAAATGAACAACCCACCCGCTCATTCCAGAATGTTTTGAATCAATTTGTTCTCTTCTCCGAGTACATCTCTTAAACTAGGATGCACATCCTTCAGTTTCCGTAGCTGCATACGGATGTAGGTAGCACAGTCATCCACGTTCGCACCGTCGGAGAGATCGATGCTGATGCGATCGATAGGTCGCTCCGAGCTGAGGCACTCTCGATTCCGCGAGCTGTACTTACAATAACACCAACGGTCAAGTTCGTCCTCACCTACGGGATGACCGCCACCTTAAGATCAGAAAGGCGACACAATAACAGCGATTGGGTGTTGTTACCTGGAACGACTTTGAAGTCTCACATCAATATTTCCTGAGGTCACTGATCATGCCCAGATTGTTCATGTGAGAGATGAAATTGATGACAGCGGGCCGCTTTCCCATCTTGCGAAGCAATTGACTGATTTTAGTTTTGATACGTTGCAATGCCCTACCAAACGTCTGTGTCATTACGAGCCAGGGGGCCAGTGGATACATGTTGCTTACTCGCTTAGCATTGTAACGCTTTCTACCCATGGCTTTCCCTCTTCGCTCGACGCATCATACGAGTCAACGGCCGTGACTACGTCAGCCATTGTTTTGACGATGTATGTTCCAAAAGCCTCCCTGAACATCTACAGAACAATGATCAGCGCTTCCGTTCCTAATTTCGCATATAAATCGCCACCAACCTTGACCTCGTCCAAGATGAAGAGAGCCCCGCCGGTGGCAGTTTTTAAAGGAGGGAGCAGATCAGACACGGCATCGATTACTGTGAGAATGGAAATTGCACAGTCAACTCCCGCCGGGGATCGTTGACCTTTTGCCTCAGTGACATTGTGGATGACGGGTGAAACGCTAGGGTGCCAGGGACAACTGGTGATCAAGCGATTACGAAATGATAACCGTCCGAGTCAGGCAATTCCTTTCGATGCGCGGCAGCGGCACCTCCTGGATCTTTCGAGATGAGCTGACGAGACGATACTAGCTAAGCGGTCGTTAAAACGAAAAGACGGAATGGTGGTGAAAACGGGTTCCAGTAAAATTTCTGCATTCTGCATACTCACGCCAGCTGCCGGGTGTCCTGAATTGAATCAGAGCTCAACAAATCAACGATTTTTCTGTGTGTTCACCCGAATTGCACACGTCCATTCTCGCATGGTGGAAACGAACACTCACTCGCACGGAGCGGTACGGGTGGTTCGGTTCGGGAATGGACAAGACTGTTCATACGTGAACCGGGTTCGGGCAGTGTCGGGGCATCTCCGTCTCCTACCGGTAGAAGCGCCTGGATGGGAGGGAGAATGGTTGGGCTAGGACAATGCTCCAGAACCCTTGGCCTCACATGCACGGGAATGAGAGGGTATCGTTCCAGTGAGATCACGGAATCGGAGATGCACCTGAACAAGCTTTCACCTCCCCCAGGATGTCACTTTCAAGGAGGTGAGGAGACGAAACAACAGCTACAATAGTCCATATCGCTGTCACGAACTAACATGCTGCAGTCCTCCAACGCTCGAACGAGTTGGATAAGAAAGTATGGAAGGAACTTTCATTTAGAGTACTCAGTCATCTCTCTCCCACCTCGTTTCCAGGTTCCATTCATCTCGCAGTACAGGACCTTCGCCTTATCCATCCTTGCAGATGAACGGAAATCGGTAAGGCGTCTCTATGAGAAATAGCTATACTCCAGCTGGTGGTTGGGACGACATCAAGCTCTGGAGACTTTCTCAGACCTCGTCGCAGTGTCTCTCAGAATGGAACGATTACCTTGGGGCTAGTGCACGATGTTTATGCTTGTAACCGGGAAATATGCGTCAGCGTTCAGAGTCGAAACATGATTGGAGTTGCTCATGCTGAACTGACTAGCACCCATGCTAATAACGGGCACCACAACGAGTCATTTGCTGCGCATGAGTTGCGACTCTGCGGGCTTTTCGATTCTTAGGACAAGACGGGTGTGTTCGATATCCATCAGTCGTTATGTGACCTGAAGGCCAATATCTCCGTTATTCACCGGAATGGAGAGTATATCTCCATTCCAGTGAAAACAAAGATGTTGGTCTTTTGCAATTCCCATATTGACCTGATGTCTATTGACAAAGTTCAGGCATTCAGAATTCGCCGCATCATTCCTTGAGAGCACCAGTGGCGTTTACATCGCACGCAGCCTTCACCCTTGATATGCAATGTTCGATTGCACGGCAGTAATAGGTTGAAGTGGGCTTCGTTTGATCAGATGGTGCAGCCAATACGGTAGCCTTGACGTTGAGCATTACTTGATGCATGAAGATGTACATGAATGGGGAGCGCTCTCTGCAGCAAATGTGACCCTGGAACCATTGACTTCAGTGGCAGATGCAGCGAAAAGGCTAATGATCAGACTTACGTCGGTGTTCCACCACTCATTTTGTAATGAACAGAAGCCGCCCACGGACGCCAAAACCAAGCGTATAATTGGGGGTGATTTATCAGTTATGGATTCAACGTGTATAAGCCGAGAAACCATCTCGCCACACAGGGGACTGTGAGCCCTCGCCACAATATTTGAAAGTTTTCCCCCAGCCAGACGTATACTTCTGCGGTTGCTGGGTGCGGCTTGCCATTGGCGTGTTTTGCCTGTGTTTTGTGATGTCTGGTGCAGCTGCGCCTTGTGCTTGTGCTTGCCCTTGGCACGTGGCGGACCCGGAGTGTGGGTCCAATGCCCATCCATTCAGCGCTGGGCAGCCGGTGGGAACAAACCTTCCTCATTCATCACAATACTAGCTAACACTTAGGTAATCCTTGTTACACATCTCCGTTTTTTTTTTGGGTGGCATTCCTGATGAGATGGGCTTGGTTTCCTAAAGTTTCCGCGACGTTCGAACACGAGCCCATCTGGCCCATCCTCTTCCAATCGTTCAACTTTGTATGAACATTTCTCCACGCTCAACGGAATGAGATGGTTCTTCATCTGTGTCTCAAGAGAAATCCCTTACAAAATTGGAGTTGACTGAATCGGCTGGGAAGATCTGGATACTTGATCTCATTTACGAAATATTGCCCTAACAGCAGCTGAAGGGTCCATGTCGCATTTGCGGAAGCGTCGATTGGAGTTTTCTTTGCCACCAAGTGGCGTCGGCGACACCGTGCACCGCTACACTCTTCAGCGAAGGTCCTGGTATATTCAGGCATGCGGCAAATTTTGTGGCCCAGTGCAGCGATGGTGACCTTGTCAGGGGTGCGCAGATTCTTCTATATAGAGTCAATTCGGTTAATACGAATAACCAATATGGCTAATATGCTGATGCATCGCCTTGATGACCGGATCTTTCCTAGCCATCTTCCTAGCCAAAGAGTGAATACGTCTTCCCCACACGCCTTCTCTCCCCCTCCTGGTGTCATCTTGTATCGTCCCCCAATCTCCTGCTCACGGATATTGTAGCGGGACGTTTTGGGAGCAGTTTCGCAGTTGAACGAAGCCAAACGGTGCACTGGCTGACGAGAAATTTCGAAATTTGTGAAATATCAACTACGTATTCTGGGATCATGTTCATATCGCTGGTTGGAATTTCGACGAAGAAGGTGGCTGAATTTGGAAGGTTTTATTCATTCTTTCAGCAGTCTGGAGCTTGGTCATCACAAAGAGAGGATTGAATAGGTCTGAGAGGCATAGAAGCGTGGTCTGAGCATAAGTTCTCCCCACCAGTTCCTTCTTCTCCCCCCTCGCTCTCGGAACCCCAGTCGCTACTCGCCTTGGATTGTCTCTCGAAGCCTGGTCTGTGGCCATTCTGAACCTCTTTCACTCCATGAATCAAGGCCCTCGACGTCCCACTCATTGTCCACGTTGACGTTCCCCCATCAATCTTCTACCCCTTCACTTGATACCCTTAGCACGTTACCCATCTGCAATTCTTCAAGTCCCTGTACAGGTTCCCTGCCTATTACGCAACGACTCTAACATTTTAGATGATTTCTAGGCTGTCGATCTTCGCTCACTGCACTTTGGCACCTTGGCCTTCTCATCGACCTGTGGCCGACGTGCCTTGTGGATTCCATCGTCTAGGAAGCGAACAACAACCAACTGAATCAAGTGCAAGGACACATGGGGCCCCTTCAATCCGATGGATGCGCAACCTCGGAGCACGACTCGCTTTCGTTCGCAGTTCTGACCAGTCTGCCAGTTCGTTTTTCCCTTCGCCATTGCTCCCAGAACTCTAGTCGTCGCCAGCCTTCACCATCCTCGGATCATCAATGTCTCATTGGTAGCCACTCCAAACCTTTCGCGGCCTCAACCCTATCGGACCCTGAAGCTGTGGGCTATATCTAGGCTGCCAATTTTTCACTTATTAGCGCACCCAAGAGATGCCCCCTTCACCTATCCAATCGACCTATGATCACAGCTCTCATCTTCATGCAACCTGGCCGTGTCTGCTTTGGCGAACTGCTTGTGAATCAGTTTTACTGGTGATCGGGTCTACACATCCTGCTTTCCCTCTATGACCATTTGGGCTGCCCATGGACTCCGGTGACCCATTGTACACCTTACGGATTTGACGCACTTTGTGGGTTCCATCGACAAAGCGGAGTGGACAACAAAGCAGAGGTAAATGGAGTGCAGGAACCCACACACGCCCTTTCCCCTTTCCTATCCGATGGATGCACAGTGAGAAAGAACGACCCACCTTCCTTTCCGCTCCAACATGTTGTTTCTGTCACCTGGTCTCGACGTATGCTCTTGCCCCGGGCCGTTTCCCTTGAAGCTCTCAGCCTTCCTGCCTTTCGGTCACAACCCACTTCCTTTGGAGTACCCTGTCGCCAGGTTTCTTTCGTCACGGATCTTTCTCTTCTTGGGTAGCTCATCAATCACTATTTCTGGGCCATACTTCCAACAAAAGCGGCGAATGCATTACTTCCGTCATATGACGAGTACGTATCATGATTTTCTTAGCAAGCAATATTCATTGAATCCGTTCACGCAGCGGTATGTCCCGTTTATTTCGGGAGAGTGGGAGTGGGACACTTTGGCGGGACGCCCTCGTGGGGTCGGTATGGACATGTTCCCACAGGCGCTTGCACCTGTTGTCCATGCCCCTTTCCTGTTAGGGTGGAACTTTGCGAGCCAGTTGGCTCGCATAGTGTCCACCCAACATGTTTGGCCATAAGTATCATTTCTCCTCTCACATTGAGACTCATGCTGACATCCTTACATGTGCAGGAACATCTTATGTTGGGCAAGGAGCACATTTCATGGTAAGCTGATCAGATCCACTCGTGTGTTTTTTGCCACTAACATTGGGTTACGCCACTGGCGGGAGCTTCCCCCTACATTAGTCGATTTTATAGCTCAGCTCCGTCACATGGTGCGCTAGAAGCATGTTGACTGTAATTACAGTTCCTTTCTTTTGCCTCAATTCATGCTGGGATCCGTTCCACTCTGTTTCACCTATCTTAGCAGACGTGTATTTATCCAGGTAGTTGTGTACAATATTACTTTTCATTGCACTGGTTACAAGAGACTGAAACGTGCACCTATTGAACTCTGTGTTACTTCCTTTGGTGTAAGCAACGCCGCGTCACCATCATACCTAAATCCAGGTTACTGATCTGATCTGATTATCCTGTGGTCCTGAAACGTACCTACGCCTCAGTTTTCACTTATCTTTTCCCTTCATTATTCTTTTTTTAGTTTCTCCGCGACGATCCATTATTGTTCACTAGTGAAAGAGTCCCCATATGACAGTTGTCGTTTCTCGCTTTTTGTTTCTTGTTTCTTATGTTTTCCCCTTCGTGTATCTCCTGTCCGGTGCTACTTTACCGCCGTCCGTTGATCTCTATCTATTTTCTGCGTCTTCGACTCTATTGTACCACTGGGTGCCCGTCAATCAAAGAAGTTTCAGCACATGTCGAAGCAGATCGTCACGCTACTCTGACTAAGCGCCCTGCCCGTTGGTGCACATGTGAGCTTTGGGGCAAAAATCCGCGTGTATATTGGGGGCATCTCACGATTGGCTGGTTGACAATTTACAGGCGCTAACCCAATGGCCCGCTCGCTGCACAGGGACTGAATCCTCAGGCTCCGACTTGCGCGACCGTGTTTACCAGTGTTGGCAGATGCCCTGACGAGGGAACGCCGGCTGGGGTGGGGTGGTCAGTACTTACGATTAGGTGATATAGCGGCAATGCGCAATCCTGGTGTGAATGTAAGACAAAAGATATTGAACATGAGGTGAAAGAACAAAAACAAGTAAGGCACACTAAAAGAATCATATGCGTGACAGCGGAACGCTCCGAGGCAGTGGGGCGCGAGAACGAATACGTGGGGGCTTGGTTTTGCACAGGCATGATCAAGTACGGGGGAAGGAGATCGACAAGCAAAAACAGGGTGGTCAAAGCGAACGGTATTATAGCAGTGATGGCACTGGCAACTAGTAGTACGTTTAGACACTGGGACTCCATGAGCGCTCGTTCGAATGGGTCCTGCTCAACACAAAAAAGGACAAAAGTGTACTGCTAACTTAGTTCCCAGAAGCGTAGTGAAAGCTCATATATGGTGGTGGTCAGATGTCCTGGGTGGTGACCCCATTGTACTGATTCTGCCACGTCCGTGATGAGCTGAGCCAGGATACATACAGTCCAGGATCGAGATGAGAACGAATATCATGACAAACGCAAAAGCAGCCAGGCACAGAAACATACATGGAGGAAGAGGTCCATGTGACGTACATGACAGGCGAAGCAACGCACATGCAGTTTGGGGCAGTGGGGCGCCATCCGGTGATTAGTCCCATCAAATTAAACCCAGCGTCGGATAGTGAAGTCATGCATGTCGTATTGAGGCTGGAGTTTTTAAAGTAAATAAGCTAATGCACGGACTCAGTCTCGAATGAGAGATCTGAGGGAGTGTGAAAAATCCCGCGCACAGTCACTGCGTTTAAGCCAAAAATTTCCACTGTGGAAATGGCGGGGATAACCGGATTTCCACGCAATTTCCCACAGCGGATATTGGTTCTGTCCGCTGGCGGATTGAGCATCACTTTACCCACTACATATTGACCGGTTTTGACCACACTCATCCCCGTGGGAACCAATACAATCGTGGGGTATGCATGTCCCTCCAAGTGGCCATCTGGCCAAAGCCGAGGCACCTGCTCCATCACACTCGTTCAAGGGGTGTCAATCACGTGAATCATAAACACCACGTCCCTTTTTAAGTTTTGGCACCATGTGAAACACCCTCCCTCCCATGCTTAATTCAATCGGCAGTAGCCATAGTGCCGGGGAGTGCCGATGACCAAATATGGAATATGCAAACTGTTTGTTTCGTGCTCTTCTTTGCTTTGCTAGCTATCTAAACAGGGAAACCATCAACCATTCTAGTGAGCCTTGCGGTCTCTGTCTCAAGCCCAGCCCAATGTGTTGGTTTGTTCTCCAGGTGCAAAAGGGAACAATCAGTGTCGACTTTGCCAAGTCAACTTGTGCTAGGCTTGCCAAATTCTCATAGGGGCCTGCGAGCACTCCATTCCAAGCCAACCCATGTGGTAATGTCCCAGTTAAATGTTCCCACTGTCCAAAAGGATCAAGTGCAGTTTGGAGATACAATCTGGATGCTCACTATCGTGCTAAGCATTCCCCTGCGCTCCCTCTTACAGAGCTTGCAATCACTAATTTTGAAATAGAAGGACTCAAGGTGCTCTGGCACAATCGTCATACAGCAAACCGCATGGAAGTGAGGCGTTGGAAGCGGCATAAGCCGCATTTTGTGATATCTGAAGCTCACAGCACCCAACTTGCTCTCCAGACTACTGATCTAGAAGGGCCAAGCACAGCGAGCTCTCAGATGAATTCCAATATTGAAGATAGTCTACAACAAGCCCATGATGAAACCAATCCCTTGCCTCTTGATCCCTTAGTCCCCCATCCAAGCCCGGGCCCGCTGTTATCTGCCAACGAGTCTATCCAAACCAGCCTACCTGCTGTGCATCAAAGTGGGCGTCCTATGCGCTCGGTACAATGGCTGGTGACTGCTCTCCACCAGTGCTGTGATGTGGAAGTTACAGCAGATGAAATTACTAATGGGTCTAATGTTGTACGCTGTCTGAAGCCAGGATGTGAGACAGTTTGGGTCAGTCAACTTGAATACTTCGACTTTGACAACAAATACTCATTATTTTCGTTAGTTTCATCGAGCTTGTCAAGGGAATATTCTCCCAGGGTGGAATTGTGGATTCCACGATTTTGGTAGAGCCCCCAAACATCCATGCAAATATTGATTCACCCTTTTTGATATTACCTGACTAACAATTTACATTGTATATACACTCCATAACTGAATCTAAAATTTCTGCCAAAAATAAGTTTGTCACACCTTGATGACACCCTCCCTCCCATACCATGTGTTCAGCATTCGCCGATCCAACACCCCTTGCACTCATTAGCACTGTTGTAGGTGATGTGCACGTCAATTAATGCCAGTATAACATATGTTACACTATAGATATGACTTCAACCCCTGATTGCAGCTCTATGTCCACACGTCCCAGTAAGTGCCCAAAATCTGTCAATCCCACCCAGCTTTACCATCCACTGTTCCACAGCTCAAGGTTGCCACACATGATCCTTTATATTACTACAGTCATATAGGTACAAGTTGAACCTCTGATCCTGGCTCTACGTCCATGCATCCTGGTAAGTGCCCAAAATCTATCGATCCCACCCGGCTTTGACATCATGCCATGTGAATGTTGTACTCCATTCCACAGCTCAGGGTTGCCACACACAATCCTTTCCAGCCCTGTCAGCCATCTCTGTGCTCATAGAAAACTCCATTTCCGGTAAGTGTTCTCCCTGTTTGCTCTCGGTGTTGCAGCTAACAAAAACTTTCTAGATATCATTGAGGGCTCTTCTCTTCATCTTTAACCACAGACGACTAGAGGTGCTTCATGCATCGCTAGTGAATCACAGTTACTGTGAAGATATTTGACTTTCGAGGGCCAGAGGTTGTATTCAACACTGCTGGCACTCACGGTCATCTTGGTCTTCTGGCCCACCCCCTGCAACACCAACCTCCCATTCTAATCCTGCATAGTACACTCGACATTCATACCCCCCCAATCAGCTCTTCTACCCAAATGGTGTATTTGTCAGGGTCGCGTCCGCGGTCGAGGCGGTCCGGGCGTAGCGTCCGGTGCTGAGGACCTCATGGGGGATGGATCGGGCGTGCGTACTGGCAGCCCCGATGCGGGACGGCGATCCCTGGCCACTTAGACTGAAGTGGGAATGTTGAGAAGAAGGTTACTTCTTCGGTTCCTACCCCAGGTGTGTTTATATACATGCGGCTTGGGTCACATGAGGTCCGCCACGTCACCCCGCATACAGCCGCAGTCACCCGGGTGTCCCCGTGGGGGATCCCGAGGGTGTATGCTGCACGCGCACACACTAGGTTGCACCCTAGAGCCGTCCGGGGTCGTCCGGGGCTAGGCACGTCATGTGTGCGTCGCGGGCGGGTCAATAATACATGGATATAAGGGAAAGGTCGTCCAGGTGAAGTAGAAATAGAAATAGAAATAGAAATGGAAATAGAAGGGGAAGTGGGAGAGGGATAGAGGGGGAAGGGGTATGAAGGAGGGGTGCAGGGTGGGAGAAGGGGAACCGGGTGAGGTGGGCCCGGGTGGAGGCGGGTCAGGTGGGTGTGCCCTGACAGTATTACATTGTGCACTGATATCCAAACTTCTAGTTCAGCATTACTCATGCATGGGCCCACAAGTCTCACTGCCTGTGGTTAGGCATTCCTGGCACCGCAGCAAACATTTTGTGCATTGTCTTTTAACATCAAATGGCATGAACAATCCCACTCGGTGGACATTGTCCCTACCCTGGATTGTGTACTGTTGATTCGTCCAATCCTTATTAGTGGTCTCATACTCAGGTTTGGCTTTCTGGACATCACTTGCACACCAAGTGGCACTTACACGACATGCCAAATGGTGTGATCAGACATGAACCTCAACCTTACCCTTCTGCCACCCTCGACCTTCTGCACCCCCCCAATTGTGCACTACCATTTCATCCAATCTGTGTTAGTGGACTCATATTCACATTTGCCACTTGTGCACCATGCACCCAAAACCCTGTGCTTGAGCGACTTGAGAAATGGTGGTGCAATTAGACAAGAACACTGTGTGCTTGCCACTGGCCTACCCCATGTATGTCAGGGCACACACCCTGACTAGCCCGGACCCGGACCCGCATCCGGACCCACTTCCACCCGCTGCACTTCCTGCACGCACGCATG